TGTTCATTGACTACATTGTTGGTAGAAAAGCCAAAATTAGAGGGGCTAGACTTTTAAAAAAAACCAAAAACCAAAAAAACCCCATTGAATGACACAAGTCTGTAGTAGAGCACGTGGTAAGGGTTGACTCTGATAGTTGAAAGTTTTCTACTTATATAAGCTACCTGTTTTCTCCTTCAGTCTCGCTGGCAATTCATTTATTGAAATGTGGACATATATATTATTGACCTGTGTATGTTTTGCTCTGGAGTTCAGTGTTCCTGTGATTTTAATACAGCAGTTAGATTTTGGGACGTGGCCTCTGGGGGCACTGAAACAAGGGCTATTTACTAGCTACAGAAAATCTCCTGTGGAATAGATTACTAAATAGCTGCTCTAATACGAGAGGTGTACAGTATGACAGTACTGATTGAGGAAGGACAAATGTAAAGCTTTTCCATCAGTGGAGGTCAAAATACAGTCAGCATTTGAGATCTCTAGATGTGCCGGAGTGTGGACATAACTGTAACAGGGAAGATTATATTAGCAAACCAGTGCAAAACAAGGAGTGGTTTTTTTGAAGTGGAACGAGTGGTAGGAAAGGAAGATAACTTTGAGGAATTACTGCCTGCCAGCAGTTAATTTAAGATTTAGTGTTTGACACAGCCCAGCTGAGAAGAAAGAACAGGAGGCAAAGGAGAAGCGCGAAGAAAGACAATGAAAGGGGCAAGATGCAGTGACCAAACAAAAAATAAAAATGCATGAAGCATGTACTCCCCCAATTTCCTGTTTCCACTAAAAACATGGATTGTTTCCTTCTGTCTCATGCTGGTGACAGATTGTGCAAAATGTATGTGGAGAGCTGGCTGGAACATAGCTCACAGCCTGCCAAGGACCAAATGTGTAACAATTTCAAAATGACAGCAACACAGCCATTAAATATTTGATGAGGAGGTCTTTTAAGTCATAGATTTTAAATTCACTTTTAAAGTAGGGGCAGTATTTTATATTAATTTCCCTCATTGAGAAACATAAACAGACTGAGAATTTGCTTACCCAAAGAGTTGCAGACTGTTACAGGCCAGAACTTAGAAGAGAGCTCTCTTTTATGAAACACTAGATACTTGTGATTAAACTGTCTGCACATTATGTTTTTCCCTCGTAACACAATTGTGTGACGTCTTCGTTTCAGTCTTCAAATGGGAAATAAGGTTTGTCATAGGATAGTTTCTGGTGGCCTAATAAAATCTCTCCCTCTTCCCAATTTGTGCTATTTCATCTGCACTGCTGTATTGCTGCTTACTTGCCCAGCTAGCTCCTAACACAGAATTCACATCAGGTTGTAGCAAAAATGCATCCTTTGAATGCAGGAGAAATTGGAGTGGGTTATGTTCTACAAACTCCTGCTGTTTTCATTGGGCTCCGCTACGTAATTAAAGATCGAGTCAACTTCCCAGTGCTGAGATTCAGGATGAAATCTACCACATGCAAGGATGATGAGCCTATCCAGCATGGAAAATTAAAGATTAAAAAAAAAAAATAGTCAAAGCTGCTGAAAAAAGGCAAGGCCACCCAGCAAAGTTTATGAAAGTCATACTGGCACTTGCTCTGTGTGAGCTGCATAGCGTTAAGGACTAATCACCAGCATACATTTCAGACTGGGAGAACCAGTTCTGATTATGCTTTTGTCAGGTCGGAGAATGAGAAAGATGTGGTGTGAGCACTGGTCTGGATGCTGGAACTCATGAATTCCACTCCTGGTAATGACAAAAGATCACTGTGTGGGCAAATCACTTAACCCCTCTGTGGTTCTCTCATTTCAGAAGTGAAATGAGAATAGTATTTCCCACTCAGGAATGTGGAGGAAGATTAATTAATGTTTGAAAAACCAGTCTTGCAGCAAGACAAGTTATATAAGAGCTAAGTGTTTATTAATGATCACCCTTTTATAGAAACTTAGCACGCTGATGTGGTAGATTAATAAAATGTGCTCTATCTGGAAAATAAGAGATTAGGGTGAATTCAGGAAGATTCAGTCTGTTGGAGAGACCGTGAAGTTCTGACTTAGCTTTTATTCTAGCAAAGTATCACTGAAGCCAATGGTGCTTTGCCTGACTAATATCATGATACCCTTTTTCCCCTGCAAAAGTCTAATTTGCCTGGGGAATAGAAAATCTCTGCAGTTTCCACTCATGACATTGCTTTGGACTTTTTCCGTAACAGAATGGGAATTTGAAAAGTGGCGAAGTCTAGACACTACAAAAGAAAGCTGCTAGAAGCTGCAAATCTTTGGTCCTACAAAGGATCTGCTGGGCCTGTGTAAACAGAACTCCTTTGCCTCAGCTCTGGTTATAAAGTCCTCCAAATTCCTTTTTAGCTAGGCATGTCTGAGCTCACTGCCACACTTGAAGGCCATCTGAAAGTTTTGGCAGTAGGAAGGGCTCAGCTGCAGAATTACTACTGCTTCGACTTAGATGGGTGTTTTTTCCTGGGGAGCTGATAGTTTTTTTGTTTGTGTGGTTTTTTGTTTGTGGGGTTTTTTTGTTGATTTTTTTTTTTATCCTGGAGAAGGGCGAGTCCACAGCCCTCTCTGATTTCCTATGCTGTCCTAAACTCCACAGCTGGAGGGTTTGTAACCACCCCTGTAGGAATGGAGACAAGGCCACAGCCTTGGGACTTCCTGCAGGGAGTGCAAGTTTCATTTTGTGCAGAAGTTTTTGAGCAGTATTGGCAATTTGTTGCAGAAGAGGTTTTTTTTAGCTTCCATCTTCAAATGCACGTAAGTGGGGGATAGAGTAGGTTACTTAGTTTGATGCTCAATCATTCCAGTAGAAATGTAAATGTCTCTCTTCATTCAAAGAAATGCTGTGAGATGTGTGTAATTAGAAGGGGTTATCTTTCTGAAATAATTTAAACAGTGGTCATTTTGATGCTCTCTCCAGTTTGATGATCATTTTTGTGTTACACTTTTTCCACTATTCAAAAAGCAGAGACAAAGTCATACAGAACTGTGGATATCTTGTTGTTTGACTTTGTCGGCACCTGTTCCACTGCTTGTCCTTTGCTCTGTAAGACTGTAGAGAAGGAGTAGTTTCCTTCTCTAGAATGCATTAGAAGAAGACATGACTGGTACTAGAAGAAGGGAGACCAAACTGATGTTTTGTGGAAAGCATGCACCTAACAGCAGTCTGGTTGTTCAAGCTTTTATTCTATTATGAAGACTGTGTGATCATTACCTTGCAGAATGGAAAAGACTGGGATAAAAGTATCTAATATTCCAGATCACTCATCTTATTCATATCATGATGTTATTTTACATGTTTCTAATAAGGCAAAGTATTTTCCTTGAGGAAGTTTGTGAATCAGCTAAAAGAGATGGAGAATTAAATATGTTATCATGCTAGGCTTTGATTTACAATTTTCTATCGTCTGTTCCAGAATGTGGACCATCAATTGGCTTTTTGCGAGTAGTAGCAGAAAGTATAATGAATTTTTACATAAATGTAAATTAATAGTTGGGGCAAGTCTTTTTGTATTATTATTTTTGATTTACGGAGCCTTATGACATTCCTAGACTCCAATGCCTGGAGAGTGAGTAGTAAGTATCTATATACATTGCAGGATACATTTTCAGTATCAGGGCTGAGTGAAGGTTTTAGGAGTGGATGGTGGCTTCCCCCTTGGAGATCTTTTTCAAGGAGTCTAAAAAGAAGGAAGAGAACTAGGGACTGATGGGTTCAGTTCTTTCTTCTGGTACCACTTCCCTCACCTTCCAAAGCAAGCTATGCAGCACAGACAACTGGGCGTGACATTTATTCCTGTGTGACATCCTTCAGGTTAATGAATCACAGAATCAGAGAATGGCCTAGGTTGGAAGGGACCTTATTGATCTTCTAGTCCAACCTCCCTGTCATGGGCAGGGACGCCTCTCAACTCGATCAGGCAACACATGGGGACGGAACGGGGATCGAACCCGCGACCTTGGTGTCATCAGCACCATGCTCAACCGACTGAGCTAACTGGCCCCAATAAAGTGATTGAAAATGTGACTGGGAATGAAACTTTTAGGAATGGCACAAAGCTTCTTTGCCTTTGTTTCCTAATCTTTTAAAATGGCAATAATTGTATTTGGTAGGCGAAATAGCTGTATAAAAGAAAATGGACATTCAGAGACTGTTTTGAAGATGAAAAAAGGTAACTTCCAGAGACAACAAGTTGATAATAAAAATTAAAAACTTTATAGAAGATGAATTTGTATATAATGTCTTATGATGAGGCTTGCACTTGTGGTGAGTTCCCTGTGAAAACACAGACCTTTCATCACTTAGATTTGTTTGATCCTGTTCTGAATATCTGTCGACTTAGTTCTAAAATAAACAAAAGTTCAGAACTTCAGAAGTTCTGTCTCACATTGTATTATTGGGATGCTGAATATGAAGTTTACCTGGGCAAATAGGTATCACTACTACAAGTTCTTATAGGAAGAAACTGGATGATTTCTGTCTCTCTGTCTTTACTAGCAATCAGCACATAAAGCTATTTATTACCCTTTTACAGGGTAAAAAAAAAAAAGGAAAATACCGTTTTCTCAGAGATTGGTAATGAAGAAAATAATGTCTTTTCTTCTCAGCCCAGTTCCCATTGCTGTGCGTCGTGCAACAGTGACATCAGAAATGGCATTTCATTTAATTTCATGTGCAACCTTGTTAGGTGTCTTAGCAGGAAGGATCAGGGCTGTACGAGGTGCAGAGACCGAACGCGCGTTTGCCTTGGGCTGTGGGAAGGACTGTTGGCAGCACGGTGGGAAGAAAGCTGGTTCGGAGGCCCACGGCCGCAGGGCTGCCCTTCCGTCCCCTTTCACCGATGTCGTCGGTTGGCAGAGTTTCGGGCTGGCACGTGGACTGTGTGGTGCTACTCTCAGGGGAGAAGGGAGCGTTACTGAAGAGGATGCTGCCATTGTTGCAGATCACACTGATGTTTCCATTCTCTCTTCCCCTCCCTCTTATCTCCTTTCCTTCCAGTCTGTGGCAAGCGCTACAAGAACAGGCCTGGGCTGAGCTACCACTATGCTCACACCCACCTCGCCAGCGAAGAGGGCGATGAAGCCCGCGAGCAGGAGACGCGCTCTTCCCCTGTCCACAGAAACGAAAACCACAAACGTGAGTAGTGTCTTCTCTTTGCCTTTGAGATAATTTACAGGGATGCTGCCTCGACTCTGCCTTCGACTGGTGGTGCCTGACGTGATTGCCTGGCTCCATTGTGAATGATTGGGACCTGGATTCTTGGAGCTAATCAGCTGCAGCTCACATGGGTGCTGGCTCAGCTAGTCAGAAATTCATTTAAAACCCAGCATTATCTCTGCAGCAAGTCACTTTTCCATTACTCCTCCTGTGGGGAGAGGGGGGAAGAAAAGAGATGCTCAACCTGCCCATCATCAAGCGGCCTCCCGGTGGCTCTTAGCAGGCATGTCAAGGTGATACACATCCAGTAGTTTGAGGGGGCTGCCTTTGTTTTGCCTTTGAACAACATCTCAGTTTTTGAACATGTCTCAGTTTTTTAGGTATGAAATTTACAGCACCTGTCCCCCTCATCCTGCCATCTCCTCCCCAGACAGCTTACTCCCAACTTTACCAAAAGCCCCCTCTTAGTTACAGTTTGGGAAAATCTGTGACAAGTATCAGTACTGATTTGCAAAGACAAGGGCTGGAACATGAGAAGAGAGAAGAGTTACATGCCTAGACCCCCCCACTGGTACAGGGCTGAAAGAAATCTTAGTGGTCCAGATGGCCCTATTTGACTGTCCTTCTTCTGCTTCTTAGCCACAGAATTGGGAGTCAAGGAGACTGTATTTTATTACTGATTTTTACAAGTCCCCAAGCCCCTGTTTCTCAGTTTTCCAATGTGCAATGCTATGTGATGCTTGCTTTCACCTTGGGATTTGTGTAGATAGCTTTGCCCACTTTGAAAAAGTCCTTTCAGATCACCATATGAACTGTGTCCTTTTAGGTCAAAGTGGTCAACAATGTGGACAAAGCAATAAAATGCTTATGGGGTAAAATACCCAGGCAAACACTTTGTAATACATTAAGAAGAACTGGAAGAAATATGGAAGTAGGAAAACATTTTATTTCTAAGCAGGATAATTGATAATTGTCCCTAGGGAGGTGTGGGAGGGGGTTTCCTTCCTCCAAAGCATCTGCTGCTAGCCACTGTCTGAGCTTGAAGGGCCATTCAGTGTGATCCCATTTGGCAGTCCCTACATTTCTGTCACTTTTATGCTCTACCTTTTGGTTATTCACATGTTTTGTAGGTTCACAGCAAAAGTAATTTTGACTCCTCCAGCTGTTGATAAACTTTAGCTGTCAATGCACTAAGAGCAACTGCTCGGGCAGGCTGGAGAATGTCAGTGTTCAGCCAGTAGCTTTTGTTTACTTAGCGTTTACATCATCCCTGTTGTCTTTTATTTTTTTTCTCCTGTGCCTGCAGTAGTCAGTAATAGTTGCATATCTGAGAGGCAAATCACAAATCTGCATGGAATTAATATTGATAATGGCCTTACACAGATGCTGAAACAAAGAAGCCCTTCAGCTTGTCAGAGAGTCCAAGGACAGTCTCAGTTCTTACGTTTCTGGTACTGAGGAAATGACAGAGGTTAGGAAGAAGAGGAGCTAGAAAAGCTATGGTGAGGTTAGGAGCAGCTGGCCTTGGCCCAGAGGAAGAAAGGTGTGTTCTACACTGTGGGAAATGGTAGATCAGGAGCTGCTCGGGCTTGTGTTTCCCCAGAGATCCTGTGTGATCCTGATGTGGCAGAGGGAAGCTGCTGATGCACAGATCCCCCAACAGGCAGAAGTTTAAAGCCAGTGGGGTGAACCACTCTGAGGTCCAGATTCCTGAGCAGAAAGAATCTGCTCGACAACCAGCCAGGAGCCAGTGAGGTGCAGGCAGCAGCCACACAAATGTGAACATCAGCCCTGGGGAAAGTCCCAGATGCCCGAAGGTAACTCTCTCAAATGGCTTAGCTGTCGCAGTGGCTGTTTGTTCCTTTTTTGCCTGTTTGTTTGTTTACAGCCTTGAGCTCAGATCTTGCATCTTTGCTCTTTCACTTGGTGATATTTAATTTATGCTGCCATTTATCTTCCATGCGAATGCTAATTGTCCACATTGCTAATGTGCAGTCATTAAATGGTCCCTTTGTACAGGGGGATGGTGGGGAGCCAGGGCATCAGATCCTTCCTCTCCCCTAAGAACTGCTAGGCATGTGTTATGAATTAGATTTGACAGGTCTGCAGTGTCGCAGGGCTTGG